CCCCCATAGTGATACCACCTTGGAAACCCAAGGAGGGGTCGCTATGAGTCAGATCTGTTTCATGGCAGTGAGTAAAGCATTAAATTTGCTGAACAACTAAAAATTCTATATCTGGGAAACTGTCCATCAAGAGTAAGGGGGAAATCCAAGGTACAGGTATACCATGTGACCCTCAGACTATATGACTATGAGACCAGAAGAACTAGATAGTGCTTGGCTGCCACTGTCAACCACTTGGAGGTGATCTATGTAGGAGATCCTGGATAGAGTGGGAGAACAATGTGGAACAAAACTCAAAATCATTTAAAAAAAGGAGGGGGGAAGTTTTGCTGGTCTGATAGAGCCTGAGACTATGGTCCCTAGTTACTCTTCAGGTCTAGAATTGAACCCACTCCTGTGGCTTCCAGACAAACAAAAGACAGGCATATGACCTGAGCATTTACATTAGGTAGATAAACTGCTTGGAGAGATCAATCATGGGGGGACAGGAGGGCTGTGTGTGCACAGGGAGACAGTTCAGGGGCAGGAATACATGGGAGGCGAGGACACAAGGAAGAGGTAACTATGGGGAGGAAGTGAGAAGAGAGCTATTGCACGGTGGGAAATTGAAGTCAATGTCATGAGACAAAGTGTATGTGAACTGCTACATGGAAAATGAATTGGCTCTGTAAACTTTCACTCAAATAATAATAATAAGAAGAAGAAGAAGAAGAAGAAGAAGGAGAAGAATGAGGGGGAAATAAAGACATTTCCAGATAAATAAAATCTAAGATAGTTTGTAGCCGCTATACATGACTTACAAGAAATGCTAACAGGAGTCCTTCATATGAAAATGGATACTAGACAGTAACTCAGAGTTGTACCTAAAAAAAAAAAAAAAAAAAAAAAAAACAACTGCACTAAAAAGAATTGCATGAAAAAAAAATTGCATGGGCTTGGTAATTCTAGTTGTTATTTGTTTTGAACTTTATAATGACAAGTATATAAAAATCAGTATAAATTTATGCCACAGGGCACACAATATCTAAAGATGTAATATGTGGAGATTCTAGGAAGATGACAGCATGATCAGATCTAAGTCCCCAACCTTCTCCAAACATGTACCAAGAAAAATAATGAGAAAAAAATCTACTCAGCTCTGAGGGATTCTAAAATTGTGGGCAGAGCCAGCAGCAAGGAACTGCAGAGAGACCAAGTCAGTATGAAATCTATTATGGTAGAAAAAGAGCTTTTCCCAATGACTCCATCCCTTCCACCCCCAGCCTGAGAAATGGGAAACTACCATGATGGCTAAAGTGACTTGCACACTGATGGCTTCTCTAGGCAACACATGGCTCACCTGTTCACAGGGAAGAGCCCTGAGCTCTAGCTCTGATATAAATAAGACATATCTTCCTGATTCTTCATTCAGGGTATACCGACACATCCCCCTCTCAGCATGTAACTCAGATGGTTGCAACAATCTCTGTTGACTTGTGCCTCATGTGAGCATGGACACAAGCCTTGATGTCTGATTCCCAGATATTTGGGCCCCCACAGAATGGAGGAGGGAGCAGTGACAAGACTGAGGGCTACATTCAACAGAAGATGGTTCATTTGGTTCACTTAGTCCACTAAACTAAGGACTGCCAACTAGGTCTGAAGGGAAACACAGGGTTCACATAGCACAAAACCAAACCAAACTCACTGCCATCAAGTTTATTCCAAATCATAGGAAGCAGACTGACTCATCTTTCTTCCACAGAACAGCTAGTGGGTTTGAACCACTGACCTTTTGATTGGCAGCTAAATGCCTTAACCGCTACACCACCAGAGCTCTTTTCAAGTAGCACAGGAGGGAATAATAATCAAAGACTGAGACCTGTGCCCTTTGGAGGATGGATTGACTAGTATGTGTTCTCTGTTTTGTTTGGAAGCCACTGAAAGATGGAACCCTTGGTCTGGACTGAAATGGAGTTGTCACCAAAAAGGAAAGGAAATGATAAGCAAAGTCTCTAGGTTTTGCCAATATAAGAGATTCTGGCAGAAAGCAGTGCTGCTGAAAACACTGAATACTCAGGAGACTTGAGAAACTGATACCTTATAAAATTTTAATGTCCTACTTTCAACAAAAAATTACAAGACACACACACACAAACTGGAAATGATGACTCAATCACATGAACAACATGAAGGGATGGAAATTGGACTATAAAACAACAATATTAAACAAGCTCAAAAATTTAAAGTAAAATATAAAGAACTAAAGAAAATCAGAAAAACACTGCATGAACAGCAGACATGCAGCAGACTTGCCCAGTGTTGTACATCTCTTCCTGTCCAGAGCTAAGCAGAGTGAAGAAAATTAAAGACACAATGAAACAATAGGCCCAAAGGACTAAAAGACCTTGCAAACACCAGCCTCAATGAGCCTGAGAGATCAAGGAGAAAAAAAGGGGAAGTCGTTGCCTAGGAGGTACAGAGCTGCTGTTAAGTCACTTTCAACTCTGTATGTACCCTTGTAAAATAGAACTAAATACTGCCCAGTCCTATGCCATCCTCATAACTGTTGTTATGTCTGAGCCCATTGTTGCAGCCACTGTGCCAATCCATCTCCTTGAGGGTCTTCCTCTTTTTTGCAGACCCTCTACTTTACCAAGCATGACCAGGAGGGACTATTCCCTCATGATAAAATGTCCAAAGTGTATGAAAGGAAGTCTCACCATCCTTGCTTCTAAGGAGCAGTATG